GTTCCGCATCCGTCACCAGCAGCTGTACTAACCCGGCCCGACGTAGCACAACCTGGACGACGTGACGGAAACCATAGGCCTCTACGTGGTGTAGTTGCTGGCGTTATCCCGCCCTCCACGTTTCCAATTTCATCTCCAACTCTGTCAGACCAACAGGGCATTGCATGACTTCCCTCCTTCTCTTAACTCGCCATGGTTGTCGCCACTAAATTCCAAACACATCTGCATTGAATAACTCATTTGTTTGTTCATACATTCATTCACAACCTTCCTTTTGCGTGCAGAAATAGAAAATGCTCCTTTCCATTGTTTACATGGTTAGCACAAATACAGAGATTATTTATTATCGCTCATTCGAGATGAGCATTGCGCAAGTTCGGGACAAATATTTTAGCATATGATTTTACCCACAGAACCTTGGAAACCTTGGAAGAATGGCAACTTAAGCCACAATCCTGATGCATAATTTGGTGCCTTCAGTAAGCCGTGAACAACATCTTAACTATGCAATCTCATGACAATGTGATTTTGCTCATCTTCCACTTTGGCCTAGGTGATCGTTGAGGCTCTTCTTTGCCAATCACACCTCAGTCCTCATTGTTTTCCTGTGCTTCCTTTTTCGGAACGAATGAGTACTAGGAGCACCCGGTGAGTGGATTTCTATTTCCACAATCATCATATTTTTCATTTGTAACAGTAGACTAACTTGCTTGTTAGATTGAGCTTATTTAACTGTAGATAGTATGGCACTATGGCTTACCCAAAGCCACAACGAAATACTAGAGTAGAGCATCAGGATGCCTGCAAAATCATCCACGGTGAATGTAATGCCTGCAGCTTTTGCTAGTTATGTATTATGATGTGTAAATGTAGGTTTAGCCGCCACTTTTATTAATTCGCCGCATAATGACCACGAGAAGCTGGAAGTTGCTGATGACATTTCTTCTCATTCCTTAGTCTTCGTTTATTTGTAGAGATGCATGAACTAGGGGCAATTCATTTGCTTCACGACTCCATCCAATCGTGGATGCAACTGCAAGGCATTCTCCTGCACTTTCTTCTATCTATCACATCGCAGATGTTTGTCCACGCTAGCACTCTTCTTCTCACAGCCCTGCATTACGTGAACTGCGATTAGACATACGCGCGAAGGCGATAATGACGAACATTGGAGGCTGCCACTTTTTCAAGGCTTCACATGACGGCTAATCATCAGCCTCCATTAATGCCCATTCACACCATTCGGTCTCGTTTGCAAAGATCTCTTGTTTGGATTCATTAACCGCAGGATAAATTGCCAGTTCACATCTCGTGCAAGTGTGACATTTTGGCTAATCGGTGAATGAAGATGAGAGTAGGTATGTTGGCGCCTCGCAATTCTTGGGTAAGTAAGGCTTGCTGAGGGGATTTTGAATTGTCTTTTTATGTGGTGTAGTGGGGGAAGTGAGTGACAGGGAGAAGCGTATGCAGCATGGAATTTCTCTTCAAGAATGCCTACAATATTTCTGGCGCCGTATGTTCTAGCTCCGCTATAGTTGTC